TAACAGCCTCTGTGTTTCCAGATGAAGACTAAGAGGCGTCACAGGAACAGCGCTCCAGAGTGGGGTGCTTACTGTGACCTCAGTGATCTGGGTCAGTCCCTCCTCAGCTCAGAAACACGTAATGACCCTCTAACGTCACGGCTCACTGACGGTGACGGACCTTTTCGTTGTCGTGTGCGTGCAGGTGTTTACTGCATCGATCGGCGTTACAGCCACCACCTGGAGCCGCCGCGCTACAGAGGTACAGTGTGAGGCGGACTGACCACGGACTGACACCCCCCCCCCCCCTCTTCTTGTCGCTCCTCCTCGTGTTGATGTGATGTTGAGACGCTCTGAATGTTCGATCAGAGCTTCAGGTGGAACGAGCTGCTGAGAGAGAATCTAAACTCCTCGACAGTCAGATGATCTAAACGTCGGAGCCGCTCAGATCATCACGAGTCGAAGATGAAGACACAGATTTGACCTGAGACGTTTTCACTGCTGCAGCTTGAAAACCCTCAGGAGCTCGTTTAGCCTGCGATGGGTTTGGTGTTGTCGACTCGTTGCTGTGCTCACGCGTGTGTTTGTGTCCCTGCAGGAAGAACCCGACTCCTCTGTCTCCCTCCGCTGAGCTCGTCCTCCTGTGTCGACCCTCGTTCCTTCACCCCCCCTCAGAGACTCTCTCCTGCTCGCTCACTGAATGCTGCGTGTTCCTCCAGCTGCTGCCTCGCTCGCTCGCTCTCTCTCTCTTTACTTTCTCCTGAACTGCAACTTAACCTCCGTCCTCGGCTGAAGCTCATTCTCACATGTCTGTTCATGATTTCTCTTATTTTACAATCGATGTGTTCGTTACTGGACGAAGACTTGTTGGTTTCTGTCGTTTCTTTGTTGAAGATATTGACAAAGTGTCTTCAAAACACTTTTGAAGACGTAATAAACAGAAATGTCTTCAGGTCTCAACAGCTGGAAACGTCTCGCACCACGTGTCATCATCAGGTTCTACAGGTCACTATGGTAACCACTGATGAAGCCTGGACGCTTGTTTCACTCACACTTTGCAGGAAATGAAGAAAGAAATTAAAGATAACTTTTGACTTCCTGTAGCAAAGCGCTTTACGACAAGTTGTTTTTAGAAACGAGATCAAACGGGTAAATCAACGACGACTCGTTTATTAAAAAATCTTTAGTTTTTAAAACCTTTTGAAAAGTTCTCGTACTTTTCAAAGTCCGCAGAGAAAATTTTCATCAATTTTAATTCTCACGTTTTCTCGGCAGCAGCATTTTAACTTCAGAGTTTAGAACTTTCTCATGAATATTTCAAGTCACATCAAATTTTAACCAACGATTAATCCTTTGATTTCTTCAGAACAGCTGAGGTGTTGTGATCCTTTCTTCTCGTGTCCGTGTGAGACGTTGCGTGTGTAACGATGCGTGTGTTTTCTGTGTTCCGTGTTCAGACTACATGAAGGGCTCCTTGTCCAGCACCTGCTCCCTCAACAGTGAGAACCCGTACGCCACCATCAATGACCCCCCCGCTCTCTGCAAACACTCTGAGAGCAGCTACGTGGAAATGAAGTCACCGACTCGCCACGATCACATGACGCGCTGCTGCTCGGCCGCCATCGTCACCACCGCCACCACCACCACGGCTCCCGCCAAGAACGTGTACGACATGGGTACGATTGAGATCGGTGTGATGACGGACTCCTCACGTTGTCACTGATAGTTTGTTTCTCACGTTAAAAATACATTTAACTCAGATTTAAATGTTTTAGAAAGTTTGATAGGAGCTGGAGTTTCACTGACGAGCCTCGTCTGAAGTCAAATGAATGAAATGTTCGTCAGGTTCCCACTGGAAATGTACATTTGTACAGTTTATTATTGGATTGTCTTTTTATTTAGAGAATTTATAAAGAGATGAATCAGCTGTGACGGTTGCATCGTTACTGACTGCAGCGCCAACAGATCGTTAGCTATGAATCCTGGGACAGGTTCGATACCAGGACGGACTTTTAGAAATGGGACAGTCGCTGTGACTCGATCAGTCTTATGCAGCGTCCAGTGGGTGTGGAGACAGTTTGTACTTAAATCTTTATAAAATACTGATGCCGTCTTTTTAAATCATAAATAATAGATTCATCATATTTTTCTCATTTGAAATTCAGTGTTTATTTTTAGATTTGATAAATCCACAGCTCATCGTCCACCGAGGCTCGAAGATCCTTAAATAAAATCAAGAGTCTCACTCTCATAAATATCCGTCCAACGATGATTTATTCATCAAGATCCATGGATTCTCTTTAAGAACTCACCGTCTCCGAAGTTTGACACAAACCCACAAGACATTCCTGGACCTGCCCCCCCGTCCAGATCCACGTCAAACTTTGGTTCCTCCCTGACCCACATGTATATAATGTCTGTCCCCACATCATGTCCCCTCATCATGTCCCCACATCACATGTCCCCACATCACGTCCCCACATCACATGTCTCCACATCACATGTCTCCACATCATGTCCCCACATCACGTCCCCACATCACGTCCCCACATCATGTCCCCACATCACGTCCCCTCATCACGTCCCCACATCATGTCCCCACATCACATGTCCCCACATCACGTCCTGATGATCTGAAGGTTTTATCTTCACCGACAGAAAATATAAACTGGTTTAGAAAAGTTTTTCCAAAATCTGAAACAAGATCAACTCATTTCAACATAATCTTCTTTTCTGTCTCTCTCTGTGTCTCTCTGTCTGTCTGTCTCTCTCTGTCTGTCTCTCCCTGTGTCTCCCTGTCTGTCTCTCTCTGTCTCTCTGTCTGTCT